AGGCTCTACCTGTACAGACTGGGAAAGGGACTCCTGACACAAAGAAAACTAAAAGCCCCTGATCTAGTCCAATCCCATCCTGTTAAAGGTGAAAAACCAAACCCTGAGTTTCTGTAGTATCTTCTGTAGAAAATCTTTCCTGATGCCCTTATTACTTATATCATCAATCATGGATTTAGCTAAAATGAACCTTAGTAGTCATCTGGTCCAACCCTTCATTAAACATGTAAGAAAACTGAAACCCTGAGAGAGGAAGGAATTTGCCCAAAATTATTCTGGGAATAAGTAGCAGAGCTGGGATTTGAACTCAGATCTGGTGACCCCAAATCCAGTATTGAGTCCTCTCTTCTTCTCTAACTGCCGTGTGGCACCTCCCCTTCCCTCCACGGAAGCTTCTTGATACAGGAGTCCTTATCACTTTGGTCCTGGTTTTCCTCGTGCCTGGCACGATGCCTTGTATGTTGTAAGGGCTTACGCAGTGCTTAGTGGATTGTAGTGGAATTCCAGAGGGGTAAGTGTCTTGCAAAAGATTACAAATAAGTGTGAGAAGCAGACCTAGAACCCAGGTAGTGTGACCTCCAGTCTAGTAAGCTTCCCATTATACTATGCTTGACAGCTAGGTGGTGCAGTGCTGGCTATGAAGTCAAGAAGACCTGGATTGAGATCCTATGTGACCCTGGGCAAGTTTTGTAACCTCATTTTCTTCCTCTATAAAATGTAGAGAATAACAGCACCTACTTTTACAGGGTTGTTGTCAGAATCAAGTGAGATAAAACATGTCAGGCACTTCAAACCTTATGGTGCTATATAAATGCTAGTTATTATTACAGTTATATAACATCTAGCAAGAGGCAACATAGAGTGGAGAGAGTTGGATTTGGAGTTAAGAAAACTTAGGCTCCAATCCTGCCTATGACCCATACTAACAGAGTGTATCTTTGATGCCAGGCTATACACTCGACAAGGGCTGAGCTGCTTTGATAGAGGGAGGTGCTTACTAGGAGATTCCTATGCCACTGAAATGTAAGGCTCCCTCTCTTACACACCCCCCAAAATATCATGCAATAAGGTTTGTGTTGCATGGATACATAATTAACTTCCCTATTGGAAACGTCTTCCATCCATAGTGGAATTGTCAAATGGCCACCAATGTGTCCATTTTTGCACAACAATCATAAAATCACTTGCATCAGCAGTAGCTGGACAGAAGATGCATAAAGAGGTTTAGGACACTCTGCTGTTTGCAAGAAAGAAAGAAAATATGCATGAGACCTCAGGACTGCAGTTGCACAACCACAAATCAATGGATAAACTGTTCAGGAAAGACAGCAGCAAATGAAAAGTGCAGTTTGTCTATCTGAATCAAATTTAACTGGAGGACAAAAGAAATTAAATCCTACAGCAGTTCTCAAAGCATCAACAGGGCCACTCAACCATAAAAAGACAAGATGAATTATTACCCAGTTCCTTTGTAAATAAAGGAATCTTGGTGTCATCTACCTCTTTCCCCCCTGGCAAAAGCCAGATTAATTGACAATGCAAGCAGTAATATTTCTTAACAGTGATAAAACAAATTTAAGATTCTGTGAGCTATCTCCCAAATTAATAACATTGAGAAACATGTAATCTTAGCATCTGGATGGGGTCACAAAATTGGCTGCCTGAATCCTGCTAACCTCCAGAAGGAAAATAATGAATATATTTGGAAAGTTAAGCCCAGATACAGATGGTATTGGGAAAAAATGCTCAGCCCGATTTCCATCTCCCTTCCCATCTCCACATGTCTTTTCCCTACTCAGATTTCCAGCTGAGTTCAAAGACAACTTGGCTTCCAGAGGAGATGTGCTGATTTACACAGGGGGATAAGTAGGAGGTCCCCAATGTTTTGGTTGGATGAATGAATTTCAAGAAATGAGATGTTATAGGAGTATGGGCAGTTTCATGATGGGATTTTCCAAACAAGCAATATGTAAATGAGAGCAGCTGGTACCAACAGTCCCTTGGCTTATTAATCAATGTATAATCTAACCCCCCAAAAAAAAATCACAGTCGTTTTTTCCAAAGTATAATCTAAGTATCTAAATCCAAAACTCTAGGGTGGCTGTGATTTAGCTTCAATTGCTCAGTCTTTCAAATCTCAATTTTTCCACCATAAAATGGGATGAGAGAGAATATGGATAGTGGATAGGAGGCTGCCCTTGAAATCAGGAAGGAAGGAAGGAAGGAAGGAAGGAAGGAAGGAAGGAAGGAAGGAAGGAAGGAAGGAAGGAAGGAAGGAAAGGGATTAAGTGATTACTATGTATCAGGGCAACTAAATGGAACAGTGCATAGAGTGCTGGAGCCTGGAATCAGGAAGACTCATCTTCCTAAGTTAAAATCTGGTCTCAACAGATGTGTGACCCTGGGCAAGTCACTTCACCCTGTTTGCCTCAGTTTCCTTGTCTGTAAAATGAGCTAGAGAAGGAAATGGCAAGCCACTCTAGTGTCTTTGCAACAAAAACCCAAAGCGGGGTCATGAAGAGTTAAACATGACTGAAAAATGACTGAACAACAACAACAGTATGTCAGGCATTGTACTAAGTGACACAGTGAATATACTATGGAAGGTTGTAACTACTTCGTGTTTTGTGGGGGATGATGGTCATTAGGAAAGTGTCTAGAGAAAGCAATCCAGATTGGAGAAATGGCTCAAGTTCATCCAAGCAAGTGAAAACATCTCTGCCCTAAGGAGCCTACATTTTAGTAAGGAAAGACAACCTACACGAGGGTGATGGGTAGGGAGGAGTATTTTGAACACAGAAGTCACAGGGATAGTGATTGAAAGCATTGAACAATTGATTAGTGAACCTTTCCAAAAATTGTAGTGTTGATTTTATCACTCTTCTCAGCTAGAACTGGAAAGCGAGGGGAGATTCTGGAGGAAATGGCACCTGAGTTGGGGATTGAAATCATGAAAATAATAATTCCAGAATAAAAATTGTGAGGAGAACAGGTTCCAGGCATGGTAGATACTAGAGCTGCCCTAGGATGAGATCAAGGCACTGCCTGAACATTACATCCATTTGTAACTCCCCAGGCTGGGAATTGACAGCCTGGACTTGGCAGATCAAAACTCAGAAACCCAGGGGATTTAAATAACTCGCCTAGATTCACTAGTTACAAACTAGTCTACTGGATATTCACCACACATGGCATTCCATCTCCATGTCTTTGCATCAACGATTCCCTCCTGTCTGGAATGCTGCCCTTCACCTCCATTTCTTGATACTCCTAAGTACCTTCCGGGTTTAGTTCAAATGCTGCTCATTATAGGAGGACTTTCCTGATATGCCCAGCTGTTAAGGCTTTGCTCCTCCCATTATTTTATAATTGTTATTCTTAACATCATTGTAATAGCTACGTTTATTGAGTCTTTTGCCGTCGCATGAGGTTTTCCTATGTCACCTCACTTGATGCTAACAACAACCTTGTAAGGTCGGTGCTATTATTATCCTTATTTTGTAGTTAAGGAAACTGAGATTGAATGAGATTATGCAAGTTACCCAGGATCACACAGCTAAGAAGTGTGGGAGGTAGGATTCAAACTTAGATCGGCAGGACTCCAAGGCTGGTATTCTCTTCACTCCATTAACATATCTACCTTAGATATAAATAAAAAATAGAATATCAGCTCCTTAAGGGCAAGGACTATCTTTTTGTCTTTGTATCCCGGTACACAGTGCCTGGCAGTTGGAAGGCCCCTTACAGAAGCATATGATTGACTTCTCTATGTTTTTGTTTCTCTCCAGTACCACGTAAGCTTCTGAAGGTCAGAGACTGTTTTCCCTTTTTTGTTTGAATCCCCACCTCTAGCATGGTGCCAGGAACATAAGGATGTACTTTTAAAGGTGAATTTAATGGAAGGGAAAACTGGATCTCCTTGTTTAGACCCTCTAAGCCTAAATTGAAATGCTTCTGATTCATCTCTGCATCTTAGATTCATGTTAATTGACTCTTCAAAATATTGTTTCATCTCTATGTTTTATTATATGGTCATGGAGTCTTTGGGAATACATGTTTTTTCACCTTAAAGTCTTCTTGTCACAGACACAGATTTTTTTTTCAGGATATTCAAACCTTAAAATTTCTGGTTTTGATTAAGAATGAAGAACTGTCTAAACTTGCACAGATGTTTTGTTTTCTCTTCTTTCTCCTTGAATTTGTATTCTTAGCACTTAGCACGGTACTAGGCACACAAGAAGCACTTAATAAATACTTGTTCACTGGCCTAAATAGTGCCAAATGAAGATGCAGTCAATCTGAAATGGATTTAGAAAGTTGGAAGAACATGGGGCAATATTAAATACAGCACAGTTTCTGTGGTCCTACTCAGCACTGAAAAGAAAACTCAAACCTTGGCCATCTCACTTAGATTCTTCCTAGCCAGTCTCCCTCTATTTGTTAAAAGTTCACAGGTAATAAAAAGAAGTCAGCATTTCCTCTGGCTCTCCTAGAAAAAAAGAAGGAAACTCTCTTTTGGCAAAGCTAGTTGTAGAAAAGAGCCACTTGGTTCAGTAGGAGAGGGGAAAACAATCCCCATTATCCTATATAGTTCATTTTCCCTTCCCTTCATCTTTAAGTACTGTACTTAGCTCTTTTGAATATTTCTTTCAGAAATTTGAAAGGGCACCAAAACTCTGACATAGCTAAATAAATCTACCAAACTATGATATATGACAATATTAGAGTTAGTCTATGAAAATTGACAGGATCAAGGCTCCCACCCAGACAACCACCATGCTTTGTAATTCCATTCGGCAACCACAGTTAAGTGTGGGATACAGAACTCAATTGATTTACATTTCTCCTTGATGGAAAGTATTCATTGCTTTCTGAACATAGTAGATGCTGTAGGTCACAAGAATTTATTAAGTGCTTACTCTGTGGACCAAGACATGTTTGTTTAAATACCTTTCTCTTTTTCCCTATAAACCATTTTTCTCCTCCTATGATTCCTATAGGACTTCATCGTCACAGTAGTCTTCTCCTTTCTGTGGCTGGTTGGCTCATCGGCTTGGGCAAAAGGACTGTCTGACGTCAAGGTGGCAACAGACCCAAAAGAAGTTTTGTTACTGCTGTCGGCTTGTAAACAACAGTCCAACAGGTGCATGGCTGTCCACAGCCCCATTATGTCGAGCTTAAATACTTCTGTGGTAAGTACATTTCTTTATATGCATGAGCCTGGGTTCTTTGTTTGCATCCAATCAAGAACTGCCACTATCTCCAAAAACTTGCAGAAATTCTGTTTCCAAAATTAGGTCAATCAGAAAGTTGACATTTCATTCCATGAAGAAGATTAATCTGTGGACTTTCAAGTTTCATATGGTCAGAGTCTGAGGACTTTAATATATCCAATTATGGAGTCCTTAATAAGAACCCAGCAGGTATTAACAACTGCTTGGATGAGAATCAAGCCTAAGTTTTCTCCCAGAGCTGGACATAAAATGTGAATGCTGACTGAGGTCCACAGCTGGCAAAAGTTGAAAGAAATATCTGAAGGCATAGAAATTGGCTGCGAACAAAATAGTGTTCAAACCATACTTATTTAGAACCTACCCAATTGATTGCCTAGAGAAAAGTTCTCAGAACTGCTGGGGTGCTGAAAAGAATACATGGAATATTTAAACACACACACACACACACACACACAAGTAGAGTTATAATAATTTTTAACCTTTTTTCCTGCTTATGATAATTGCAAGATTTACTTGGAAAAGTAGCCATTGAATAAAATTATAGGGCCTTAGAGCTAGAAGGGAACTAAAGGTGAGATAATAAAACCCTTTTGTTTTATAAATGAGGAAACTGAGGCAGAGAAAGAGGAAGTGACTTGCTCAAGGTGGCATAACTCTTGGAATTGGTATTTAAACTCAAGGCAATCAATTGTAAGTCCAGTACTTTTCCCACTATACTAAGTCCTATGTAATCCAGGGAAACTAGAGAGTGAAGCCATGAGTTCCAGTTAGGATGCTATGGTCAGATAGAATCAACAAACAATGACTCTCAGACTAAGAGTATCAAGAATTTAACAGGAACATAAAGTCAACATTTTGGTTTCCAAATACCAGTTTCTAACTAATTTTTGTTAGTTGTAGGAATTAATCATGTCTATAAAGACAGAACCAGAGGTGGGGAGCCTGTGGCCCTGAGGCCACATGTGGCCATCAAGGTCCTCAAGTGCAGCCCTTTGAATGAATACAAACTTTACAGAACAAATAAGGATTTTTTGGATTTTTTTTGCCATTTCCTTTTCCAAGTTATTTTACAGATGAGGAAACTGAGGCAAACAGGATTAAGTGACTTGTGCAGCTAGTAAGTATCTGAGACTGGATTTGAACACAGGTCTTCCTAATCCAAGTCTGGTACTCTATCCACTGTATCACGCAGCTGCACCTAACTAGAATTAAGAGAGATTAGTAAAGGCTTCCTGTAGAGTGCAGGATTTTAGGTGTGATTTAAAGGAAGTCAGGGAAGCCAGCAATCAGGGATAAGGAGGGAGAGTATTCTAGTAAAAATGCCCAGAGTTGGGAGGTGGACGGTTTTGTTTGAGAAACTAGATCAAAGAGTCCATGGGGACTTGGGAGGTGGCCAGTGTAAAAAGATTGGAAAGGTGGGGTAGGGGCAGCTAGGTGGCGCAGTGGACAGAGTCAGAAGGACCTGAGTTCAAATCCAGTCTCAGACCAACCACTTGACACTTACTAGCTGTGTGACCCTGGGCAAGTCACTTAACCCCAATTAACTAATTTTAAAAAAAAAAGACTGGAAAGGTGGGGAGGGTCAGGTTATGAAGAACTTTGAAAAGAAATTGGGACTTCAGAAGATAGAAGTGAAGATGAGGTGCATTCCAGCCATGGAGAACAGTCTAGGCAAAAGACAGATGGGAGATAGAATGTCATGAACAGGGCACAGAGAGTAAGCTAGTTAAGTCTAGAAGAGTGTGTGAGGGGAACTGAGATGTAATCAGACCTCCAATTAGGAGAGGGAGCTCAGATCCATAATTGCTTATTGGTTTGTTTTTGTTTTTCATCCTGGGCAGAGACTAGGAGGGGCTGTCTTCTGACCCTTGTCTGAGCCTAGAGGCCAAGTTTCCTGGCGGTGATAAGCAAGGATGGCAAAGAAAGGAAGAAAAGGCCTGTGCCTAGGCCCTGAAACTGGTCCAGACTTGGTGACCAGGTGGCTTTGACACCAAGGTCAGGGCCAGGAGGGGCCAGAGGCTGGAGGAGAAGAGACCTATCTTGGGTCCTCCCCGGTTGTAGAGTCCAAAATGCAGTCTGCAGTATAGCAAAGCTACAAAAGTTCAGCAGGATTTCTGGAAGGAACAACCTTCTTGAACAGCCCCTAAAAATAATTATCATTGCTTCAAGGTTATGTTCCTACAGCATTCTAGAATTCAATGTGCGGATGCATTGAAGAAGGAAAAAAAGTTCCAAAACAATTTTCAGTGATTTGACTGCAAATGCTGTGTCTGGGAGATAGTCGCTATGGTGATAAATTATGTATTAAGGTTGACAATCATTTTCATTTATCCCTGACCACACCAGTGGACAATAACTTCAAGGGGGCCGTTAAAAAGCTATCGCCTTGCTTACAGATTGCTCTAATGCACAGTATGTAAAGGTGCCCGTGGCATCCAACCCTAGGCCTTGAAATCTATGAAAGGTAAAATAAAGTGTTGGATCTTTTTCTCTCAGAAGTCATCATGGAAAATTTGAGGATTTCTTTTTCTCTTTAAAAACACATATACACAGGAATCTTTCAATAAACAAGAAAAGCTATGGCCTTCAACAGAGTCCTTTTAAAATCCACTTCTAATATCTCTAATCAATTCATAACGGGTGGGAATTGAGAGAGGCCCATACCCAGGGTAGGGCAAATGGAGCTCAGTAAGGCATCAGAATTTAGAGGGCAGAAAAATATAAAACATTCATACCTTCAACATTGTAGAGTCAAGAAGACCCGAGTTTTAATCCTGCTTCAAATACTTACCAGATGTGGGATCTTGGGCAAATCACTTAATCTTACTCAGCCTCAGTTTCCTCATCTGTAAAATGGAGATAAGAATAGTAACTACACCCCAAGGTTGTTGTGAGGATCAAATAAGATAATATAAAAGCACTTTGTAAATCTTAAAGTGTTATAAAAATGTTAGCTTTTAGTACTATTCGCGCTTGCTGTATTATTTCCATTTTATGAAATTCTAATTTCATGTGACAGCACAATTGATGCTACTTGCCCAGAGTGATTCTAGGAAGAGCTCCCTCTCCTAATCGGAGGTCTGATTACATCTCATCTGATTACATCACTTGGTATGATGGATAGAATGTTGAACTTGAAATCAGAAAGATCTGAATTCAAATCCCAGTTCACAGACTTATTAGACGCGTGACCCTCGGGAAATCACTTATCCTTTCTCAGCCTCAGTTACCTTATCTGTAAAATGATAGCCTCAGTTTCCCAGATTTGTGAAGGATCAAATGAGATAGCTTATGTAAAGCGCTTTCGCAAACATTGAAATTCTATTTAAATGTTAGCTCTTAGCTGTTATTCTTTCTACTTTCCCCAAAGGCCAAAATTTCCAGTTATAGTTCCAATAGGAGATCGGGGTGGGATGGGGAGGGGAGAAGCAAATCTATTCTCCACAATCATGTAGTAAATGGCCAGTAGACTAATCATGAGATTTATAGAGAAGGGCATACATATTCCTTACATGTTCCTTATGCAGATGGTTTATTCAGGTAATATACTAATCAGACAATGAGTTCCTCCATTGAACTGTGATCTCCTTGAGGTCAGGGACCATGTTTTTGCCTTTCTTTGTATCCTCATCATATAGCTCAGTACTTAATAAATCTTTATTAACTGATTGACTAATCATTGTTTCCTAGTAGAAAATGCTTTTACATCAGTCATTTTACGTTAGGCGCTGAGTTAAGTAGATGTAGTGTTGTTATTCCTGTCACAAATGAGGAAATGGACAGTAACCGATTGATTAATCGCATGACTCATCAGCAGTAAAACCTGAACTAGAACCCAAATCTTAGAACTTCTAGCCCAGTGCTTTTTCCATCTGACCTCAGACACCCAATATACATGACCTGTAGAACAAATACCTCATGTTTTTGACTTAACTTTTTTTTTAACTCCTCTTAGCTGGAATATATGAAGTAGCAATCAGCATGATGGATTCAGAGGTGGACTGACAGTCTAGAAGACTTCATTTCAAGTTCTATTGCAGGCACTTATTAATTGTGCTAATTTCTCTGTGCCTCAATTTCCACCTCTGAAAAATGAGGATAAAAATAGAGCCTACCTTAGAGGCTGTTGTATCAAATGAAATAATATATGTAAAACTTTCTTGCAAACTTTAAAGTCATATCAAGCAACAAGCATTTATTAAGTCCCTACTATGGGGGAGGCCAGGAGTGGGGAACCTGCAGCCTCGAGGTCACATGTGGCCTTCTAGGTCCTTGGGTCCAAGTTTAATGGAACAGATCCTTTTGTGAAGGAGATTTGTTCTGTGAAGTTTGGATTCAGTCAAAGGACTGCACTTGAGGACCTAGAGGGCCACAGGTTCCCCACCTCTGCCAATGTGCTAGCCACTAGGGATACAGAGAAGAAACAATCCCTAGTCTCAAAGAACATATATTTTACTATTAGTAGTCAGAGTAATCACAGGACAGTAAGATATAACTATCAGAAATTTCTGCTTAAATGACCAGATTTTGGGTAAAGTTTGAGTACACACACACACACACACACACACACACACACACACACACACATACACACATATCAGACAAAATAGGGGAAAGCTTAGGGATTTAGGAAATGTCAGGTATATAGCTGCTGGCTTTGTTATTATTTAGTCATCTCAGTTGTATTTGACTCTTCATGACCTGATTCCATTTGGAGTTTTCTTGGCAAAGATACTGGAGTGGTTTTCCATTTCCTTCTGCAGCTCATTTGACAGATGAGGAAACTGAGGCAAACAGGATTAAGTGACTTGCCCAAGGTCATACAGCTTGTAAGTGTCTGAGGCCAGATTTGAACTCACAAAGATGAGTCTTCCTGACTCCAAGCCCAGATTAGAGCCGGCTGTCCACCAAACCACCTAGATGCTGAAGCTGTCTTACAAGCAGTGCATAAAAGTAGGAATAACCTACAATAATCCTTGTTAGTCTGTTCTTTTATACTGGGTGGGGTGATTGAATTGCTTGTTTGGGGGACTGAGAAACAAGAGAGCCAGAGATCTCTTTATACAGAGAGAAACAACCAAGCTCTTTTACCCTAATAATCTCGATGTGCCCAAATGAGCATCCTTGAGTCATTTTTCCCATTCTTCCTAAAATAATATCCCTTGTGTTAATGGGAAAATGTAGCAGTTGCCAATTAACCTGGTTGATTAATTTATTTGGTGTCTTCCCCATTAGAATGTAAAGTCCTTTGTAGGAAAAATTGTTTTTCTTTGTATTAGTAGTTTCACACCCGGCTCAGTGCTGGATGCATCATTTCATGGGTGGTTAATAAATGCTTACGTATTAAGTGATTGATTGATTGTTTAAGGCATACTAGAGTGTCCTCTGGAGGGCAAAGAGACTACAATAATAATAGCAACTGACATTATGTGGCATTTTAAGGGTACTTCTTTCCTCTACAATAACCCTGGGAAAAGGAGAGTATAAGGACCAGGGGAAACTGAGGCTGAGAGAGATCTTGATATATCTGGAGGAAGTATCAGAATCAGGATTCAAACGCAGAACCCAGAATTCTTCAGAATGTCAACCTAATACTGAGTCATCATCAGCACCTAGAACAGCATCTTGCCCAAAATTAGTCCTTAATAAATGTTTATTAGTTGGTTGGATACATACAAATGATATGAATAACCCAACCAATATCTAGAAGCTAAATCGCTGTGCTGTGTTTTTCATTTTGATTGGTGACATTGAATAGGTCAATTTAATTCAACATCTATTTATTAAATGGTATTTTATGCAAAGTACAATGCTGGATACCATGGGCACTGAGACCGAAACAGAAAAGGAAAGGAAAGGAAAGGAAAGGAAAGGAAAGGAAAGGAAAGGAAAGGAAAGGAAAGGAAAGGAAAGGAAAGGAAAGGAAAGGAAAGGAAAGGAAAGGAAAGGAAAGGAAAGGAAAGGAAAGGAAAGGAAAGGAAAGGAAAGGAAAGGAAAAGGAAAGGAAAGGAAAGGAAAGAAAAGAAAAGGAAAGAAAAGAAAAGAAAAGAAAAGAAAAGAAAAGAAAAGAAAAGAAAAGAAAAGAAAAGAAAAGAAAAGAAAAGAAAAGAAAAGAAAAGGAAAGGAAAGGAAAGGAAAGGAAACCTCATCCTCAAAGAGTTCACTTTCTAATGGGAGGGAAATTAATAAGTTCATGCAAAGTAATTATTTCAGAACTTAGAACACTGAAAACTGGGCTGGGGCTGGTCAAGAAAGGTTTCCTGTAGGAAGTAGCATTGGACATGAACCCTGAAGAAAGCTAGGTATTCCTAGAAGTGAGTGAGGGGGGAGAGCATTCCAGGCATAGGGAGAGATAGGTAAGCATTTGCAGAAACTTGTGGGTAGGAGGTAGCATTACTAGCATGTACAGGGTACAACATATAGGCTCAGTTGGCTGGAACGTGGAGTAGATGAGGAGTCAGGTGAAATCACTCTAGAAATATAGAGGTCAGTGAAGATTGTGAATAACTTTCAATGCCAGAATTTATATTTTATCCTAGGGATAACAAGTTACCACTGAGACTAGTGAGCAGAGAAAATGACAGATTGCTTCTGAATTTTAAAAATAGCAATTTGGCAGCTGAGTGATGGATGTACTGGAGAATGGAGAGTCTGGGGGTAAAGTGACCAATTAGCAGGTTATTGCAATGGGTCAGGCAAGGGGCGATAAAGTCTTCGATGAGGGTGGTGGCTACGTGAGTTTTTTCTAAGGTCCAAATGTCCATCCCCATCATTTTCTGTTTCATTTATATGTTCTTCTAGAGATCTGTTTGGGTAAGGGAATGAGAAATGATAGATGGATCCATAAAGCCTCAAAAGGAGACTTTTATCCTCCTATTTCCCTGTGCCTTACTCATGAAGTAACTCTTCACATACTGAAAAAAGAATGGGAAATAAGGTGTTTGTTTTCAACCCAACTTAGGAAACAGTTTGTTGGCTCCTAGCAGAACACTGAGCACATGACTAGGGCTGGAGAGAAGTGGCACCCACCTTCTAAATCACTAACACCCTCCTAGGAAGAACAAGAGTTTCCATCTAGATCTCACATATTTGTAGTTTCCTTATGAACCATTTTATGCTCTTAGGAGACCTGAACCTTATTCACCAAGGAAGGGGTCCAGGCCACTGCCTAAAAGCTCTTTGATTCTAAGCTGAATAAAAATTGGGCCATAATAACTGTATTATTGTTGGGGAGAGAGAGAGAGAGAGAGAGAGAGAGAGAGAGAGAGAGAGAGAGAGAGAGAGAGAGAGAGAAGAGAGAGGGAGAGAAGGAGAGAGAGAGGGAGGAAGAGAGAGGAGAGGAGGAGAGACAGAGAGAAGGGAAAAGAGACAGGGAGGAAGAGAGAGGGGGGGGAGAGACAGAGAGACAGAGAGAGACAGAAAGAGAGAGACAGAGACAAAGACGGAGAGACACTGAGAGAGAGAGAGAGATTTGATTGTATTAGGATAACAAGCAGCCTGACAGAATGAATAGAGAGCCAGGTCCCATGGTCACAAAGACCTGGGCTCAAACTCTCATCCCTCAATGCCTATAGACAACTTTCCAACACTGTTAATTGCAGAACAGTAGTCTACCTACATTGGTAGAGGGACTTTCATCATCAGCAGTTTCTTACATCAATGAAATCATAGGTCCTGTCCAAAGCAATAATGATAAGAATATCCCTGGTAGAGAAAGAATGGAAATTATCAGTCAATAAGAAATTATTAAGACTTACTGTGTGCCAAGCACAGAGCTAGAGCCTGAAGATATAAAGAAAGCAGAGGGACTCAAGGAGCTGCCATTCTACTGGAAAGATTAGAAAATGTTCCCAGAGAAGTAAACATATATACAAACTATATCCTCAGTAATGAGTATGGAGGGCAGGATTAATCTCTGGGGTGGGGGTGGATCAGGAAAGTCTTCTAAAGGAGGTAGCATTGGAGCTCAGCCTTGAAGCTTCCAGGAGGTGGAAGTGGAGGAAGGATGCCAACATCTCAATCATGAGTCCTTCTGTCTATGCGAAGACACAGAGAAGGGACATCCAGTATCCATATTCAAGGAACAAACAGCAAGCAGAAAATAAATTGTAACGAGAGCAGATTGAAGATAATGAGCAGATACCAAAATTAAAATAATGATGCCAAAATTAAATTCCAATGATAAAAGGTAGGGTGAAAAGGTCATGTAGCTATGGGCCAGAGCCCTGGGTTCTAATCCCAGCTGTGTCTCTAACAAGCTGAGTGACTCTGGGGAGTCAATTGATCTCAATTTCCTCATCTGTAAAAGAAGCCAATTGAATCAAATGATCACTGGGTCCCTTGCAGCACTATACTGTTATGAGCTGAAATTCTTTTTGAGGTAGATTTAACAATATTTGGAGTCTATAAAAAGAGAGTATGCATGATTCTATAACATGTCCTTTTGTGTTGAAGGGACATCTTCCAGAGACCAATTTTTATATAATTTCTGCTCCTTTGCTTTTCTCTTGGATTCTTTGGGTATGTACCGGATTGTATCATGCATTTATAGTTGGGAAGTGGCCTTAGAGAATAGTCTAATCCAACCACCTCATCTTTACAGAAGAAGAGACTGAGGCACAGAGAAGTAAAAGTGGGTTGCTCAGGGTCCCACAAGAAGGAAGTGGCAGAGCCAGTATTTGAACCCAGGTTCTCTGACCCCAGATCTAGGGTCATTGCACTATATTGTCTCTCCAGGTGGAAACTTTGAGCTTTCAATCTTCAAAGGCATCCCAGTAATATGATATTCTCCCTCTCCTTCAGGTCTTTGGCTTCTTGAATTTTGTTCTCTGGGCAGGCAACATTTGGTTTGTTTTCAAGGAGACTGGATGGCATTCTTCAGGCCAGAGGCATCTCTCCGAGTCGATGGAGAAACAGTCCAGTAGCTACGGCCATGGAGGATACAACCGAGACAGCTATGGGCCAAGTGGTGGGTATAACCAGCCGGCAAATCTGGGGCAACCTGCTGAGGAATTTGGTCAGCAGCCTAGTGGCCCCACTTCCTTTTCCAATCAGATTTAACATGGCAGAGTCTGATTTCCTATGGAGACCGTTTACCATGATCCAATTCAATGGCACAAGGATTTTCTTTTTATTAAGAGCTAGAATCAAATATTAACATAGAAAGTGTTTAATGCAAATCAGGGCTCTGTAGCTCTCATTAAACAAGGAAGGCCCTAGGTTGTGATAAAAGGTACTTTGAGACTAGTCGAGATGATCTATTATTTAGCATAGGTGGCTAATTGGACAGTGTCTTCTTATATGTACAGATAATTTTACAGTAGTTTTGTATGTGTACCAAGGTAGTAGAAGTATTTTGTAGCCCAAAGTCTTGAGTCTGTCATATTTGGAACATGAAATAGTATTAAGTTTTCTTATCCACTTCAATGGGAAACAAAATTTTAATATAATTTCTAAGCGATGACTTGGTGTGAACCACAAAATGCATGCTATATTACTACTAAGTTTACAACACTGCCGGTCTGTGAATTTTTGTAAGTTATTTTAGATAACTATACCTTTTAGTTTCCTTTGATGATAACATTTAGTGCATGAATTGGCATTTTCTCTCAAACTGAATGTTTGAACTGTGTTTATGGAAACTTCCCAATTGCACCCTGACTCTACTAATTGTATATTTATGGAAATCGACTGCCTGTTGTGTGTATTTTGTGAATTTGGCTCTCTGGTTCTAATCGACTTCTTGAAGCATTGTAATAAAGCTATGTTCCCAGCTAAGGGGCATTTGAGAGTATGTACTGTCATTGCCCAATATGTATACCCTTTCTGTAAACTCAGTAGTTTTTGCCCATTGTAATGTGCACTGGCTTTTTTGTGAATTTTTTCATGTGAGTCATGGATGATAAGGACCAAGTAGTCTGTGATTCCTTAATTCAGGAGGTATTTCTGTCAATAGGTTGATGGAGGTGAAGATTGCCAGTAACCCTGGTAAAGAATAGGTCTCCCTGGACTGTGTGTGATATTGTAAAGTACTCATGACTCCCAGGACTAGCTATACTTTAATATGATTGTTCTACCTAGCTAGCTGTCAAAAATTCCCAAGTTTCACTACTCTTCTCCAATGAACAGTTCTTGCTTGGGCATTATTCATAGATTAGAGATGTCAGTAGCAACACTTTTTTTTTTTGATGAGCTATTCTCCTTTGCAAAAAGAATGACTCACAATGTCTCCTTTTGCCTCGTTCATGACCATGAATGTGGCAATCTCCATCTCTGGGTTCTAAATCATTTGGAAACCCAGAACAAAACAAGATTAGCGAAAGCAAGTATCTACATTCCTACATAAGAGTGTTACCAAGATATATTATCAATGTATGGTCTGTAATGTTGGAAGCATTTTAATCATGTTGCATCTTATATAATAATTGTAACCAATTTCTGGCTACTTGGTGGATGAATCAATATTGTGATATCAATTTGACTCTAATAAAGTGATTGCATACAAATCTATTGAAATCAAATGATTCCTTCCTTCTCTGATGAAAATGTTCTGGCAAAATGCCCACTGTTCCCAGTCTTTTGGCATCATCTTAGCTCATTGGCCAGTTAACAAGCATCACTTAAACATTTACTTTGTGCCCAGCACTGTGCTACATGATGGGGTTTCAAAGAAATGCTTGTAACACACTTTGATGAGAAAATGGGTCCACTGGTCTAATAGCCCTTTTTCTTTATTACCTCAGACGTGGTATTGCTTGGCAGTGGGATGCTTCCCTAACCTCCCTCCAGTGCCTTGCTCCCACTGTGAGTGGCTAATTTCAATTTCTTTCTACTTGCATTGTTCAAGTGGAAAGAAGCCTGCTGTTTTGCACTCCCCCAGGTGCACCAGGTCCAATAACCTGCAGTTATGTTTTACCAGATTTCTTTTTACAAAAGAACATTCTGGATTTCGACCAATGAAAAGCAGTGGCTGGCTATGTCAAGGGAAAATAACAATTCTGTATTTTATGGGATGCTTGCTAAAAGGAATTATAATCCAGCTGGGTTTTTTTTTCTTATCTGGGATTATACTTTCAATTTCAAGAGGAAAAAGTAAATCCTGGCTAAAGAAAGTCAATCAGTGTCTCTCACAAGGTGTGGCAACTCGGTGTATATTAAAATTTGCTTTGACATCACTTGACTCAAGAGAGGCAAGTGTACTGGATTTAGAGTGGGTTTAAGGAACGCACGGGTTAAAATCTTGACTCTGATATCAGAGATCCAACTTTAGAGGCGAAAGGGACCTCAAAGATCATCCAACCAACAGCTTCATTTTACAAGAGAAACTGAGTCCCATAGAGGTTAAAAGATTGGCCCAGCATCGGGATTCAAATTTAGACCCTCTACCTCTCAACTGAGTGATACTTCCACCATACTACTATGTGATTGAGTCAGTAAATTAACCCCTCAGAGCTTCAGGCAACTCTGTAAGGCTTACCTACTAAAGTTATAGATGGCTTGCATCTCCATCAGTGAAGGAACAGCATAGGGCCTTGGAGGACCACTTGACCCTCATTGATCTCAGCAGCTGCTCCCTCTAGGCAGGCACACTAATGCACAGAGATCATCCCAGCCTGATTAACCTCAAAGAGCAGCTAAAGGAAGCAGCAGCTGTAAGGGGCTGGAGGGGAAGGGGTTCAGTCATTGACATCACTATAGTCATTCACATTTACATAGTGCCTTACCCATCTCAGGGCTATCCACTGACTTTGTCTCATTTTGTCCATGTAGCAAACCTGTAAGATAGATGCGGCAAAGCTGCTTATGCAGATTTGTGCAGATGAAGAAAATAAGGCTTAGAGAAATTAAGCAACTTGCCCAGAATCCCACAAATACTGGAGAATGGCAGAAGTCAAAGTAGAACCCAGGCATCCTGACTCCTAGTTCACTGCTTCAGTCACTCCATGAAGTCTACCAAGAATTTCTTAGTCCTTAACTGCAAACTCTCAAGCCTGGAGTAAGTCTCCAAGACTCTAAATTAGGAAATTACTGACCTGCATTGGTAGAGTCTCAACACTGGAAAGTTCCTTATGCTGATTAAATCACAACTTTCTCTCTCTCTCTCTCTCTCTCTCTCTCTCTCTCTCTCTCTCTCTCTCTCTCTCTCTCTCTCTCTCTCTCTCTCTCTCTCTCTCTCCAGACATCTCTATACTATTACAAAGGAGTTGTCAATATTCATTGGTGGAGGGAATATTTCATACAGAGAGTTCCTCTCACTAATGCAGTCATCATGTACACACACACACACGCATATACACACACAAAACCTATAAACCTATGGAATCACTCAATCTCAGTATCCTCATGCAACTCTTTAAGAATATCAGTTACAAGGAGTTGTCAATATCCTTGGTGGAAGGTATATTAAATATTTAAAATTCCCCACAAATTTAGGGTCTAGGACCACCACTCACTCATTATTCCAACCCCCACAACATATAAATTAAGGCTCTGTCCATATGTAAAATAGCAAATGGTAATGGCAATGGTTACTGCCATACTTTTAAAGTCAGGCTAATCAACAGTTCCCAAACATGTGGAGTTCACTCAGACACTTAACAAAACACCTACCAAATGGCCCTGAATAGTTAGACCAAAAACTAGAAGCACAATCATTTCTAGAGCCTTTATGGCACCAAAATAATAGCATGTCAGAATAGGAAAAAAACTTCATGAATTGGGGCAGCTAGCTGGCAAAGTGGATAGAGCACTGGCCCTGGATTCAGGAGGACCTGAGTTCAAATCTGGCCTTAGACACACGATACTTACTAGCTATGTGACCCTAGGCAAGTCACTTAACCCTAATTGCCTCACTGAAGAAAAAAAAAAAGGTAGTGTGAAAACTCATGGACCATTGAATCCAATACTTACCAGAATCAGAGTTCTCTCTACAACATACTAAACAAGTCAGCCAGCAAATGAAGAATTTTCATTAGGGAATACCTACCACCTCAGCCCCTTCTACTTCAGGACACTCCTAACCATTAGAAAGTTTGTCTTTATATCAATCCAGAATTTCCTTCTTTGGAACTTCCTTCTAATTCTACCCTCTGAGGCCAAACTGAACAATTCTGCTCCCACTTCCACCTGCCAGCCCTTTGAATACAAGAAGACAGCTATCATGACCCTACCACCTTCACCACCACTGTTGTCTCCAGGGTTTAGCCTGATCAAGGTCTTTGAACCACTCTCCATCTGGCATGAGCTTGAGGCCCTTCACCATTCTGATTGCCATATTTTACTCACTTTCCACTTATAGAGGTGCCCAGAACTGACTGCAATAGTTTATATATGATCTAACCAGAACAGAGTTCAGGTCAATTGCTTCCCCAGTCTTGGACGCTAGGGTTTTCTAAATGTGTGAAGGTGTAGCCAAGGTCAATGAATCCATTAATTTCCCCTTGGATTTTAGATAATCAAAGTAAAAGTTCCAGCCTAATGATGAATTTCTTATCTTATATAATCCCCTCCCAATACCTTTTTTATGGACTTTTAATTTGTATTCATTTTTGGCTGAAGGAACACTCTTTAGAGACAGGGTTCTTAACCTGGGATCCATGAATACATGCACATATAGATATATGTGTGGATACATACAAATAAACACACATTTGGGTATTTCAATGTAATTGGTTTCCTTTGTAATCCTATTTTATTTTATGTATTATTCTGAGAAAGAATCCATAGCCTTCACCAACTGCCAAATGGGTCCCATACACACACACACACACACACACCACACACACACACACACACACACACAAAGAACCCCTGATGTAGAGTCAATTGGGATATTGTGCAGTTAACATTTCAAAGTGTGTTAGTAATTCTCTGATTCACAAGACCCATTCACCCATGTGAATAATATGTACCAGTTATAAAAAGATAAAGATACAAAACTTTGGCTCTTCCCCCAAAGCATTATGTTTCTATGGCTAATATTATAAATTGAGTTGTATCTTTCCTTTTGATGGGCCATCTTCCATTCTTGGTACCAGAGCTAGTGACACACATTACCCCAGAAGTAGCTTGTAATAAGTCTAAAAGGCTTAATGGCTGAACTAGAATAAGACATTCAGCTCCTATTCTTCTTTTCATATTTTTATCATTTCACCTCCTC